CCTCTGAGATGTTCTGACCTAGGGGGAAAGAAAAGAGAAGATAGACCGCATCCGAAGTCATTTCTCAGAATCCTGTGTAGCATGAAAATGTGAGGTCCCTTGAATATCTTGGGCCAAGGTCATATATACTTTTGAGAGCAGGTAGTTTCGTAGACTGAAGATGTAGGTCTCCCCTCTGCCTGTGATAGGACAAATTGAACAGGTCCAGCCCCTTAAGTCTGTCTTCATAGTTAAGACCAGCCATCGCAGGGATCATACCAGTGGCTTCCCCCTGAACTCTTTCTAGATGGTCTGCGTCACCCTTCTGGAAAGGACTAGCCGCCTGTATACAGTTTGCTAATTTAGACCTAACTAAGGATATGGGCAAGATGATGAACGTGTCACCACTTATTTTCGTAAACTTTCTGCATACCGCCCATGGAGTCTCAAAACTAAGAGCCACTACTAATCTACAGTGTGTGGTTTTCAAGTCATAACTCACTGTGACTCCAAGGTTATTGAGGGCCAGCACTGATGGTAGAGGAGCCTCACTAATATAGTGGGTGTTGCCATGTATGTGCCCCAAGTGCATGATCTCATATTTACCTGCATTGACAGGCATCAGCCACTTCTGTGATCGGGTAAACGAGCTGCTTAGGTCTCCCCCTGAAGCGCACATATGTCCTCGTCACTCCCAATTTCCCGCCAAACTTTAACACCACAGGGAATTTCATAATATTTGACAGCCCATTTGCGTGTAGGAGACACAGAAGGGGACCCAGGACTATGTCTTGTGGCACTCCACTTTATACCGGTTTCCGAGTGGAGAGTTGAGAATCTATCTTTACCCTTTGTTTCACTCCAACGAGGGACTCTCCTGCCCATGCAAGCAGACTGTCGGTGATTCAAAAACCTTTCAGTCCCCTGAGTAGTCTGTAATGAGGTCCTTTGTCAAATGCCTTACCAAAGTCAGTAAAAATGCCATCTGCAGGTGTCTCATCGTCCTTAGAACTAGCCCCACTTTCCCTGACCGTAAGCAGGCTTGTCAAGCAAGAGAAATTCCTAGGGAAGTCGTATTGCGAGCGGCACAACAGACTGTTACTCCCTAAGTAAATTGTGACGGCTTTCTTGTTTACCCGTTTTAGGATTCTTACTATGGCGCTGGTCAACCTCATCGGTCTGTAATTGATGGGTGCTACCTAGAACCTATGTTAGAGATAGGTGCTTCTGTGGCATCATTCCAGTCATCTAGGAGTGTCTTCACTGAGAGACAGTCTAAATATGATATTCACCTCTTCCGCTACGTAGAGTGTGGGCTCTCTAAGCAGCCTTGGGTGCTGTTCACTTAGTCGCGTTGATTTTTCCGCGTCGAGATTACCTAGTGTCCGAAATAAACAATCCCAATCGATATCCACAGAGTTTATTCCGTTGAGTGTCAGTGCTTCGACTGCTCAATGAGCATCCACAGAAGATTCTTATATAAGGACTTCAGCAAAACGTCTAACCGTAGCTTTTGCCTTTTCTCTGTCTTCTTCAATCAAGCATTCAGTTTCCGTCACTTTGATAAGGGCTGGTCTACGGCGACACACCTTATTTGTGTGGTTCACGCAAGAGAGTAACCCCATTGGAGGTCGTGATGGAGCCTGGGCAAGACGTGCTCCAAGGGATGAGTAACAGGAAACCAAAGCCACAATTAGGTTACACTATTATATTACAGTGACCACAAATATGAAATCTGCCCTAACAAAGAAAGTATGCTCAGCACAGTGTATAAAACGACCAGGACAAAATCTAAACTCACCTCGAACTTCTTATACGTGTACTCCATAAAGCATCCTGAACTTCTTCGTTTAGTAGCGATAGTGGATAATGAAGTACTCCTGTTCCTACAGATCTCTGAGGGTCAGTCAAAAGTAATCTTACACGAACTCTAAAACAGATATTATCTTAGGAATGGAAGTAACTGGTACCGAGCACTCACTGTAAGTTTCTGACGTCCGCACTTTGGAGCGACTCATCCACCACAAGGTCAATACGCTGGATATCCCTTAGATATCGATAACTTTAACTTTTGTGGTTTGGGCGTTTGCGGGCCGACTGCTATGCAATCGCGATGTTTCAAGTCCAGGTCAAAATAATATAAACACTCAGACTAAAGTAAGGCAGCTTAAATAGTTGGGTTTACTTTGGTGCCCAAAAACCTTTTTTATAATACGTGCACTGAAGACAACATGCATTTACCCCGGATGAAGTGTGAAGACGAAAATCATACAGTTTAAAATGTCACCGCAAAGTTTTACAAACCTTTTCCCTTCTAGCCGGTCAACTTTTTGTCCGAGGTTGTGCCAACCAAACTGTTTTAACTCGTTCACGAAACTGCGTATTGTCCATTATACCATCCACCATATGCTGTGGAAGTTGCTGTAGCGTTACGTATGGTGGACCACTGTCTAAATATGCTGGCTTAAGTCCTTATATGGTTGCATTATCCCTATTGAGATCTATTGAGAGAACTCTAAAGGGTCCCTCATATATAAGACTAAGGGGTGGTTGAATTCTGTCACAACGAATCCACGTAATTTTGTGCACCTTGAAGGCGCCTTATATCACCCATGAACTGCGATATAAAATCAATTTTACGTGGTGAGTATCCGTCAGGCTTTGCATTTGGCGCATAAGTTAAAAGCTTGTGATTAGTGTAGACTGTAAACGTCCTGCTTTCCGCTGTGAAACGGAAATGCTTGGTGGCTGAAAAAGTCGCTAGCAGTTCTCGTACAAACCTCGAATACTACGTTTCGAGTGAGGAAAGGCGTTTTGAAAAGAACGCCACTGATTACCTTTGATTGTCCACAAACTCAATGCTGCTCCCACTGCCTTACCAGAATCACCGGCCATAAACCCTGGTGGTGCACTGACATCCAGGTATTTTAGAATTTTAGCCTTTGTTAAAGCCGTTTTCAATCTGTTGACAGCCTTAATAGCTTCCTTAGGTAACTTAAAGCACTTTGGACTTCCTCTTGATGCGTCGCTTAGTCTTTGCATGTGCTGCGCACCATGTGGTATAAGCCTACGATAAAAATTGACCAGACTGAGAAAACTTCTTGGCTGCCTTACGGAGATAGGTATTGGTTACCAGCCGATAGCACCTACCTCTTTTGGCAGTGGTGATATTCCCTCTTTATTAATCATGTGTCCTAAGAGTTGTATGTTCTCAACCCCGAATAAGCACTTACTCTAATTCATCACCACGCCATTGTCTTTTGGCTTCTGTAAAACCGCCTGTATCTTACCCTCATGTAAGCCTATATCTAAACTGGTAATCGGCAAGTGATCAACGTATGCTTCGGCAGCTGGTAAGTCGCGCAGAAGATCGTCAACATACCGCCGGAAAGTTTGTACAGCATTACGAAGGCTAAAACGCAACCGCACTAAGTCATATGAACCAAATAATTTGGTGATGGCTGCTATTGGAAAGTCTTCTTCGGCCACAGGATCGTTTTGTTACATCCGGACCAGGTCTATTTTAGGGAACATAGTGGCATCTTCAAGGCGGCTGGAGAAATCATGGGCATGCGGTACTGGGTACCTGCCAGGAATGGTTCGCTTGTGTGGCGCTTTATAATCACCACATGGTCCCAAGTCTGATTTCTTCCTAAGCACTATTTGCAATGCGAAGGGCTGATGACTCCTAGAAGGGCGAATGATGCCTAGCCGAGGCGGTTTCCAGCTTATCTGACGCTAGTCTTCTGGGTTTTGGGAATACATGAACCCCTGTGTTCATTTGCTGTGTCACCTTAAGGCTTGCGAGAGAGGTCTGCAGTTGGATGACATCAGGTTCAGAAAATTGGCCAATATATTTCTAAACCTTGCAGTTGATGCTGGAGGGGATTGTACCAAGTTTAAAGACGTGGCTAAACTACTTTAGGCTACTGTGTATCTAGAAGTTTCCTTCGGCGTTGACCTCCGCTTCTTCGCATCCACTAAAAACTCGTGCCTATCCAAAAATCCTTGTTCATTATTGTTAGGTCTAGGTTCATCATGGCGACAAGCCAAGGGAAATGCCGTTTAAACTCAAGACACAGCATGATGGAATTCCTCCCGGACGTCGTTATTTGTGATTTATAGGCTACCAGTAGCGTACTTTGGGCCTTTGGTGTCCACGCTCGGCTTCGTTTCATGGGAGAATACTAAGAGCAGGTCCCGTATTTACCAAGACTTCTATTTCGGAATTGCTGTCTGTGACGTGGCATTGGCTGAGATTGCTACTGCTCCGTCTGTTGACAGCTTCAAGAAGAGGTTGGACAGTTACGCAGCGACGCACGGTTTAAGCTTATCCAATTGGGATGTGGACTAGGATGACAGGACCTTCTAACTCGGTACGACCAACCGTTACTGAACACTTTGTGAAACCACTATCACTGTAAACTTGGCTCAACCTTATACCTTATAGACGTCCCCTACACTCACCGTCTCCTACTAAAAGAACTACTATATTCCCATTCGGCTTATCATGTTATTTATTATTCTTCCTTCAGACTTTACGCCCTCAAACTTTAACGAAAGCTCTCCCTATCACCTATTCCCCATAAAACTACCAACGTTTCTTCTTCTGTGCTATTCTCCGTTTCCTAATCTTTTTTATTATAGGTTTTTTCGTTTTTCCTTTTCCTTTTCTAATTTGTCTATGCGCAGCCACTCCCTTGATTTCTCTGCACATATTTTTCATCTCCTTTTTACAACCAGTCCGGCCAAATGTCTGCTGGCACGACATTCGAGTAATCCATCTACACCAAAGTCCTTGGAAGAAAAAACAAACAAACAAACAACACTCCCTACAAATCTAACCAACACCCAACAGCCCCTCGGGCTAACCAGAACTACAGCATTCGAGTGGGTAGACCTACTGTGTTGGAATCCATCAAAGATCTGGAACAGCTCCGCAAGACCTAGAAGCGAGAGCGGAGAAATCAACTGGTTTACACTGAAACGTTAAAAGATATTGGGTATTGGATATTTGTGCTGGCGGGCATTATAACGCTTGAGTTACCTCCCGATTCAGAAGTGCAGATTTTCCCTTGGCTAACAGCCAACTGAGATAACTATCTTATCTTTCGACCTCTGTAATTCATCTGTTACGTTGCTAGACTAATTACTGATATAAGGGAAAACGGGCAAGAACATTAATGTTTATATACATTTACACAATTATTATTTTCCCTTGGGTTCCTAGTGGAACATAGGGCTCCACTGCACTCTCTTCTTTGCAGTCTTTTGAACCTGCCGCCAAGACTGCCCACAAGCTTGCATTGACTCTTCATATGACCTCCTCTATTTCACCCTGAGATCAAAAACCCGTCATTCCCTATCTGGGTTCCACTCGAGCAACTGGTCTGCGCGTGATGTCCCCAGTCGGTCTTCTCAGTGCACGCCAATCCATCTCCACTTCCTTCTGCAAATTTGTTGAGCGATAGGTTCTTGTTTCGTTGGTTCGTTCCCAGAGTTCCTTGTTGCTTATTCTTTCTGGTCACCTGATCTTCAGTAACGAGCGTAGGCAGTTGTTGATGAATGTCTGTAGTGGTGATATTCCCTCTTTATTAATCATGTGTCCTAAGAGTTGTATGTTCTCAACCCCGAATAAGCACTTACAACGCCTTTCGTAACGCGTCAACTCTCTGAACCAAACAGAAGCACTGACTTGACTGGATCGGTGTTGAAAATCCAGATCTTGTTGATGCCTTGTGCTGAGTGCAGAAGATCTCCACACTGGTTTCAGGTTAATGAACGCCAGTCTCGCTTTTCCGATCCTAGCTTTGACGTCCTCGTCTGTGCTGCCTGTAGTTGAAGCAGTGCTACCCAGGTAGGTGAAAGAGACTACTTCGTTCAAGTTTCTACCGTTGATGGTGATCGGTGCTTGTTGTTGACGCTGTTGTTGGTCGGCTATCATCATAACCTATGCCTTCTCTACATTCACTTGAAGCCCCATCTTCACTGCCTCTTCTGTAAACTTGTTAGTTTTCGCCTGTAGATCTTCAAGTTTGTGTGACATTAGACATAATTCATCGGTGAAATCGAAATCTTCTAGGGTCCCCTCATCAGTCCAGCGTATCCCCCTCTTCTCGCCCCTCACTGTTTGTTGCATGATCCAGTCCACTACAATCAGGAAGATCATTGGTGATAGTAGACAGCCTTGTTTCACTCCTGTCCTCACTTACTTCAAAGGTATCACTGAGCTTCCCATTGTGAATTACTTGGCATGTGGAGTCTTCATACAGTTGTTGAATGAGGTTGATAAAGGTTTGTGGTATTCCGTAGTGTTGAAGCAACTGTCAAATTACCTCTTGGTCGACGCTGTCGAAGGCCTTTTCAAAATCGATGAAGTTGAGGTAGAGGGTTGACTGCCATTCTATGCCCTGTTCTATGACGATACGAAGCGTTACAATTTGGTCCGCACATGATTTGTACTTCCTGAATCCAGCTAGTCTGTTCCGGTCGTAGTTTTGAATCCAGCGCATCCTTTAGTCTCTCCAGGAAGATGCGACCTAATATTTTGCTTGGGGTGGACAAAGCATGATTCCTCGTCACTCCTTGCAAAGGCTTAGGTCGCCATTCTTCGGGAGTTTGACAAGGTAGCCCCTCTCCCAATCTCCAGGTACCTTTCTTCCTTCCAGACCTTCTGCAACAGCGGTGTGAGCATGTCCGCTGTTGTCTCTGCATCTGTTTTCAGTGCTTCTGGCGGGATTCCATCTGGTCCTGCTGCTTTCCCGCATTTCAGTAGCCTTATGTCATTCAGGACTTCGACTTTCGTCGAAAGGCTTGTGTTTACTTGTAGTTCTGCTGTCGCTGGTGGTATTTCTGGACAAGTTTCAGATGGTGGTCGATTCAACAGCTTTTCGAAATGGTCACCACATCGTTTCTTTTGTTTCTCTTCTTTGGTAATTAAATTGCCTTCATCATCTTTTATTCGTTTCATCTGTGTTGGTCCCATCCCAGATAGTAACCTGGTTATTTGATACAATGTTGTCAGGTCTCTCCTACCAGCTCTCAGCCTGTTCTGCTTCACTTGCCAGTGTGTCGTAGAAGTGTCCTTTGTCTTTCCGTGCACTCTTCTTCACTTCTTTGTCCAGTGTTTTGTACGTTGTACTCAGTCCCTCTTCTCGTCGTTCATCCTTGCACTAGTTTATCTTCTGCTCCACCATCCTTATCTCCCTGCTATATCAGCTTCCAGGTATCCGTCGAGATCCATTCCTTATCTTCTTTCTTCTTCCTTCCTAACACGGTTATGCAGGTTTCTTTCCACATAGCCTTAAAAGAGTTCCAGTGCTCATCCACACAGGTTTCTTCAAGGATGTTGCTCGATATCTCCCATTTTGTCTTGATGGCTTACATGAAGATTTCCTTTGTAGTTTTGCCCTTCAGTCTCTGTTCTGGGTGTTGGACTTCAACTGTGGTCGTCTATCACCAACTTCCTTGAAGGCTTTCAACTTGATTTTGAAGGTTCTTTGCACTAGATAGTGAGTGGTGTAAACCTACATCTGCTCCCCTTCTTAATCTTGTGTCCAGTAGACTACATGTCCACTTTCTTGAGACTGAGATGAAGTCGATCTGATTTTTAGTGTGTCCATCTGGCGAAATCCATGTCGCTCGCTTTGTTGATATCCTTGTGCTTGAACACACTGTCTCCATTCACCAAATCGTTGAATGCACAGAATTCTGTGAACAGTTCTCCATTCTCGTTCATTTCACCGAGCGCTTTTCGACCCATGATGAGTTCTCTTCCTGTGTTGTCCGCTCCCAGTTTGGCACTCATGTCGCCCATTAGAATTTTGATTGCACCAACTGGAGTCTTGTCTAGTACTGATTGTAGTTGTCTGTAGAATCCCTCCTTCTCTTGATGTGCATTATTTGTAGGTGCATAGCTTAGCATTATGTGATTGTGACTTTCCTTCCTTTTGAGTTGAACCTTACCGTCATGATCCTGCAGGAGGAGATTGGTTCCCACTGTATGAGAGCCTTTGATGCTCCCGGGAACACTATGATAGCCACTCTCTCAGTGTGCTCGTGGTTGTCATCTGGGTGACCGGAGTAGATTATTGACTCTCCAGTTGACAGTTTGGAGAGTTCACTTCCATTCCACCTGCTTTCGCAGATTCCTAACACTTCAGTGCTATACCTTCTCATCTCACTTGCAATCTAGGCAGCCCTTTTGGGTTCAAACGTAGTGCGGACATTCCATGTTTACTTTCACTTTCATCGAGAGAAGACACATCGGCCGAGTGGCTTCCCGAAGGATTTCACCAACCGGCGTCATTTGTCTCTCCGATTCCAGCGAGGAGTAATTTTGTTTTCATTTTTATATTTTGTTTGTGCTTAGAAGTTTCCTTAGCGATTGGGTCTGTTTTACGGGGTAGGGTTGCTAGTCTTATGCCCAACCTTCCCTCTTTATCCGGGTTTCGGACCGGCTAGTAACTAGTGAATTAGTTAACCAGGCGAGGTTTCAATAGAATTATATGCATGTGATTTACTCTTTTATCTAGTGTTTAACGGTTATATCTTCGGCTGACGAAATTGTAGCTTTATGATTTTGTTTTCTTCTAGAGATTTCTCGCCTTAGGGTTATCAATCGAAAGAACTTGTAGTCCACTGCCTCTACGTAGAGAAGCCAGCTGACTGAATTGCTTTTCTATTCCATTATCAACCATTTGTATCAACAGTGGTGTTTTTTCATGGTTGCTGTGCCTAGGTTTTATTTTGTTAGCTTTTGATAGATTTAATTAAATCATTAAGGATCTCTAAAATATTTTTAGATAACAATATATTGAATTTTGAAAGTATTTATTCCGTGTAATAGGTGTCTACATAAAAATTTGGTTTTTCTCCAAATTTGTCTGTCAAAATTTATGGCAGTTTCTTGTCAACTAAATTTTCTGTTGAACAAGACTTATGGGACTAGCAGTCACGCTTGATTTCGAATTAAATCAAATTAACTAACTGGTTGACTCGCGGACAGGATATTATTGTCAGGAGTGAAAACGATTTTGTTATGCCCATGCTAAAGTTTGTGTAGGTGTAACCATGACTATTAGATTTTGTCTTCCGGCGATGAGCAGGTCACTCTGAGTTGAAGTTTAGGGCTACATTGCACAAAATAATACTGAACTTTAATTTTTATTTTGATCTTTTCTGCATTATATTTTGATCTATATTTGGCTATGATTCTAAGTTTGGTAATAAACCAGTAAACATGTATTAGGTAGTGCATACTGCCCTTTTCTATCCACTTGTTCTTTAAATGCTACTGTAAATTGTGACAACTTGAGTCGATTCACCTGTGTGTGAGACTCTAATTTTTTCTATCATACTGCTTATGTTCTATGAACTAGTTAACGCAAATAAATTGTTTTAAACTTTTGTCAGTTGTGAATCTGAAGATCGTAGTCACCATTCTGGTAGATACCCTCTAGATATGCTTATTTGCGTCAGCTTTTTCGAAGCATTTGCTATTGAACAAACGTTCTAAGTTTTTTTACAGGCACAGGAGAAATCACCCTGGCAATGTTGTCGTCACGGATTTTGAAGACTGAATGACCAAGCCGCGGTATACCTGAACAATTAGTAAAAGTTGTGATAGTGTGCTGATGCTTACAGATCGTGACTTGTCTCTGCATCCTTTGGTTACAAAGAAACAAGTTAGTAGTGTTTCTTTGATGAAACACTGATGAGGCGTTTCATGTATCACTACATTTCTTCTAAAATTGTGTTCTAAGCACCAACATTGGACCCTTCTACCAGTTCATTTATTTCAGGTTGAATCCCAATTCTGTATTCGTCTTGTATATCCACTGGAACTTTTACTGCGCTAGCAGATAAAACCTTGGATGATTTAACTGTCTAACATTAAGTATTCAGACCAGAAAGCAGGAAACGTAGTAACTTTTCTTCGAAAACTTCATTCTTTATGAATTTCCAGTCAAATACTGTCTCATTTGTTTTAATTATCTACCTACTATCCGATCATTCTTTCTAATCTAGTCTGCAGATATCCCTAGTACCCAAAATAACCAACTTCAAGGCACATCAGATGTCACACTGAAGTCATTAAAATGGAAGTGCGCGGACTATAGAAACCATCACTAAAACCTCTTTGTTATAGTACCAATCGATGCTTTTACATACCTCATTACTTTGTATTATTTTTCGCCACTTTAATAACCACTAGTAGTATTGACTGGATGATAATGTGGAACTGACTGTTTATTAAGTACCTCAAAACAGACACCTTAGCTGTTTTATATTAGTCTGGGATAGCATTTTGAATGATCTGTATGCGAATTTCCAATGAAGTCTATGAAGAACAAATAAATGTGTGTGGTTGCACTGTGGGAAGAAACAATAATGTTCTGTTTTTAAGAAGCCTAAAATAGTGTACGGTTCTCCTAAAAACCAATGTACAATTATCCGTTTAAATGATGGGCATACCATTCTGTGGTATGTATGCGCAGTTACCGATGTATAATGTGACAAATTGTATCCTGACTGGTTATGTATTGCCAGTGAATGATTCAGATGATTACGGAGCCACATCTATTATTTTTGATCATGTCTAAGGAGTACATAGGAAGTTTGTTCTTACTCATATCCTTATTTATATCGTGATGTCATACATGTATCCCCTTTCTTTGTTTCACAACTTTTTACAAATGCAAATGATTCCTCTCACTTTATTCATAATACATCCCACATTGATGTGCTGATGCACAGTTGGACAGCTATGTCCGTTCCCCCTTATGCCAATTGTGGTGCTGTTACTGTGCATCTGAAAACGATATGCAAGTCATTGTGATAGATAAGTACAAGATATTGATGTCCACCTTCTACAACCTTAGGTGACCGTAAACAAAGTTCCTAGATATCACCTTGTTTATTAAAGGTTACTGATAATCACATGAGGGGATGCAAAAGGTTTTGTTTTGTCACTTGATGGTTAGTAGGCTATTCGTACTTGGAAAGCTCACATTTATATAGACCCTAAACCGAATGCCTAAGTTAGCAGATCACACCTCTGGTAATGCTTGTAGTAAATAAAACCGTCCTTCGTGCGACTTTGCAGCACAAATCCAAATGAACCAAAAATGGAATAATAAAAAAAATGCAACTCAATAACCATGTGCACGTCTGTGCATTCAGTAGTGAGCCTCACTTGTTGTGAGTTACTGATGCTACCCAAACCTCGGTAAGTGGAGCAGGATTCGGATTTATGACCGGTTCAAAATCGAGCGTGTAGATCACTGAGTATTTGGGCAATGCTTTCTTTTTTTCGTCACACGGAAAATGTGAAAAATGATGAACACTACACACTACTATATGGTAAATTTTATTGTTTACGAGAATTTACGTGAGACTAAAGGTTTTTTTATAAACTTGTTAAATCGTGTTTAAGTTATCCGTGAATAATTCCAATGTGTTCTGGCTGATTTTTACTTCAGATGTCTTCGTAACTTACTGTTAAGTCCTCAATGAGTTGGGCTACAGTTTTCAAGTTGCTTACAAAAGCGAAAATCCCTCAATATTTAGTTGAAAATGGTTTGATTTGGAAAACCAAACAATGCTACTTTTCAGGCAAATCGGGGTCCATTTCAAACTCAGTCAAAACAACTGCTCGGTCAAAGCCATCATCTCTTGTTGGTAAACATGCACCTATCACTTTAACGAAATCAGCCATAGCACGTGTCCAAGAGCTTTTACAGAGAAATCCGGACGCCATAGGATTGCGCATCGGGGTTAGAACTCGTGGTTGCAATGGACTGTCATACACTTTAGATTTCTGCTTCAAGGGACACCAGCCTGGGGATGAAGTTGTGGAACAGGACGGAATTCGAATTTTCATCGACCGCCGAGCTCAGCTGACATTACTGGGTACTGAAATGGACTATCAGCAAGATATACTGTCTAGTCAGTTTGTTTTCAACAACCCTAATATTAAAGGGACTTGTGGATGCGGAGAAAGCTTCAGTGTATGAATTGTCTTCTATGATTTTGGATGGTTGTGATATAGCTTTCGAGATACTTTAAATTTATAGTATTAAATCAGACCTTACTCTACCGATAGCTGTGTATATTACCATCAAAATAAAATCTGCTGATTGTACTTTCGTACTACACATAATGAACAACGTAGCATTCCCGTCGGTTAGATTTATTTATACTTATTTATCTTTCATATCCAGACTAGTCAGTATGGATATCACTGTTTAATGGAAGCGTTGCTTTGTACAAAATAAAACGTAATTTGGCATTTAACACCACTGTACAGCTACTTAATGTCATTTCATGTTCTGAGAATTAATGACATCATCAATAAATCACTGCTTACCCCTTTTAATACCATCCGCATACAAATACAATAGGATGGGACAGAGTGAAAATCCTTAAAACTAACATAGCAGGGTGGAGGGAGAGGTTAGTAACTGAATCTATGTTCATCGAATCAACACCTAATACATACAACGGAAATGACTCAGCATCTGTTCGGGATACATGGAAAATACTACTACCTTTATCACAAAGAAGGCGGGGAAATTAGGACTTTAATAAAGGATGTCTCCTAGTTGTGTACCTATCTTGGTATGACTATGGACAACAAGTTATGTCTGAGACGTAATTCAGTTTACAAAACTGTTCCACTGTGTGATATGTCTGATAAACCAACAAAAAAAGAACTAAATCTTACCATAGTCCGCAATTTTTACTCATATTAAAGTACAGACTATCAGATATACAGATGACATGGTGGAGAATATTTATAGCTCAGGAGGATAATTGTGGAGTTGTGTTTTGAGCTGGATTGTCTAGTCGTGGAACTTTCGTTGTCATTCTACACGTCATCAGTACAAATTTCGGAAAAAAGCGAGCGATAAGGTTCTCTCCGCAATTTATTTATTGGCTTGTCCTGATGGCCTTTCTGTATAATTGGTTGTTTTTGCCAAGGTATTGTCATTTTCTTGGTTGTATTGTGTCCTCTGAGCTGGGTTGTTTAATCGTAAAGCTTTCATCGTCTTGATAGATATCATCAGCACTCCATTATTTTTCTTGTCACTGTCTCCATGCCCACTTCTTTCTGAAGTTTCTGGTGGTGGCGTCTAGAAGGACAACGAAAGCTCAACGATTAAACAATCCAGTTCAGGGAACATAACCCCATCAAATCAGTAGATGACAGTTCACCAATGCGCATATATATATATATATATATATATATATATATATATATATATATATATATATTGTATTGTTGATTCGCGTCTACCTTTAGATTGGATCGTGTGAAGGTGACAAACAAAAACAATACTTTTACGACCTCACTTACTACTTTAGCTAAACATTTCAGGGGATAGTTCATTTCCGTAAAGTCTGTGGTGTCAAAGCAACGTTTGATATTTTAATTGCGATATGAAACTCAGTCACTGTGTAGTGGCTTCTGAGGAGCTTACGTCAGATGTGATCATAATTGTCTCAATTCGGAAGTGAAAGATGGGTTTTACCAAAAACTGTCTAGCCTTCCAGTGAAAGCCAAACGTCCTGATGTGGTTGTTGAAGCAGGTGATTTCAATGCGAAAGTGGGTAGGCTAAATCAGGCAGTCAGGTGACAGTTTCGGAATCCCAGCCGAATGGACAGATAATGGCAATCGCCTGCCACAAATGTGTTCAGATAAACATTAATTTTTCTCCAACACGAACGTCTGACGTAGCGTCCACTGACCTCAACTCAGCGGTGGACAAAGGCCGTATTGCTGTCAGTTATCGCTGAAGGAGGTTAGTGAAAGATTTCCAATCCTTCTGGGGCACGTATTTGGATAGTGATCACGTGGTGATCCGAGCACGTGTCTGTGACTAAGCGAACGTAGAAAGACCACAGCAACAAGATCGTTGCAAGTGCTGCTCGAAAATGACAGCACTTCCAGTAGTAAACCGACTAGACAATTTAGAGAAACAGATGAAAACTACTCATCAAGAAGACTAGTGCCATCTCAGTCTGGTGTAAAAACAGCATTGAAGACCGTAGATATCCAACTACCTTTCAAAGGATGAGTATACTGCGCCGCGAGTTGCTATTTCTCACTATGCAGTTGAGACAGCCATTAAAAGTAGAATATACGAAGTGGCTACAGGTTTTTGACGACTAGTGACTTCGCGGCACTTCTCATGTACGGTGATAACTATGTATGTACGTATAGTGATAACTATGTGGGCGATATCAAAGTCAGGCGAAGGGTACCAGGCAAGTCAGTCAATGAGGTTGTGAACCACCAAAAGCCGACGTGGCTTGGATGTGTTGCGCATGCCGAGCTACCGCCTACTTCGAGTGTCTAACCGCTGGTTTCTGTTGTCACGCAGACCCCAACAGGGTAGTTTACATTACTGACTTCATGCAGTGATGCCATGTTTAAGTCTGGCCACCGTTCTCCAGCCTGGAACTACTTCAGCTTACACTCCGCATTGAGGCAAACGGTGACTAGGCATGTGTAATACATGTATCAGCCATCTCAGTCGATGAAGGTTCAAAACGTTATCGACCGACTTTCCTCTTCTCTCTAGAACTCCACACCTGACTTTTGCACTACTCAGGAGGTGACACTACAACACACGGTCTATGTTACGAAAGCAATGATGGTTGAACACTTGACCCTTTCTTGTGTCTTCTACTTCTAATGGTTGTTTCACAGGAATAGAGTAGAGCAGAACCAACTGCAGTCCATTAAATTCGGACATTACGGCGGTGCCGTAAGGCGTGTGAAATGGTGAAAGCCGATCTGGCCTTTTGTATCCATGCTGATTTCGTTGGCCACTGGCCCGCCAGAGCTGGCCCCAAGTAAGTGAATTGGTCAACGCTCAACAATCCCACCCTCGATTCTTAAACAGGGCAACGTTGAAGACCATCCCTAGAGCAAGAATTTTCCCCATAGCAACTATTGGTAGAACTTCTAACATAGCCGCCACCCAAGGTTTGCGACTATCTATTCCGGCAGTTGTGCGGCTCTAAAAGGTTTTACAGAAAATACGGGCCAGTCGAGATTTTGATGGCATCTCCTGAATTAATCACTGAAATTTCTAACTTGCTTTTTTTGGTACCATGTTTCGAGATACTTGGTGACTAGGCGTGTGTAGAACGTCATAAGTAAAAAATTGCGAGAACAACCTCGTGCGTTACTTTTCACTACCCTATACACGCTTAACATGATCTACGCTGATTTTATGCAACCGCCACACCACAACAGACAAAATGTTTATAACACTTCCTCATGTTTGGCCTTTAGTCACGTGTGCCTAGTCACATAATGTTGGCCGAAGTAGGTTCAGGCTGGAAAAAGGTTCGAGGCGGCCAGACTAAAACATGGCACCAATGTATGATGTGTGTGACTGTTGGTTTGAGCCATGTGGGGAGATACAGACTGGGTGGTTGGGGTCGGCGGGACAAGAGGAACCAGTGGTTTGAGACACTAGGCGATACGGCTCAGAACCGATGTCAGTGGTACAGATGCCTATACACATTATTCTCATCTTAACGCTATACCAAATCTCACCATCTTCTCATCCCTCCTTTCTCTCTTTTCGTACTTTTTATTTCTTTTGACTGGATTCTCTTTTCTTCATCTTCCACTTCACTACCTTTTACTCGATGTACGAGTATGACCTATGGCAATTTGGACCGTTACGCAGTAATGTTGATTTGGATGGATGGAGTGGTCATTTTTTACCATCATGTACTGGGTTAAATTCGCGTGGAAATGCGGCCCGTAGCGTTAAGATATTCCAGAAGTAGTGTAGATTAGAAAAGGTAAGACAAACTTTTATGTGCAAAAATAGTCACCATCCCTGATAAACACTATCCCACACAGATACCTTCGTGGACGTTACACCACTAGCTGTCACATGACTAGCAGCGCTGCAGCAAAGGCTAGTTAGTGGTGCGATGCACATTATTTAGAGCTTTTTCCCCTGTCTCAAGGGAAAAACGAATGACAACTGAAACCAGTCGAGAAGAATTATGTTTGACTTCGATACTCCAGCTACTGCTTCAGACGGTCTAACAGTTTCCAGGCCCTCATCTTAGGGTATCCCCCAACCACAACTTCCTGGTCGTGTCCCCACTATACATTAGTTACATTTTTCTTGGGTTTTTTTTTTGAAATACGGGTGACAGAAAGCAGTATCTCACTTGAAATTTAACTGGATGGTAGGCCACCAATCTGTTACTCGATCTCTCTCCAAGATTATCCTAAACACATGTCCTTGTCTCTGCAACAGTCGCGACAACCACCCCCCCCCCCTTTAGCTCCCAGTTTTCAAAACATGTTTAGATGGTTGTTATCAAGTATCACAACTCCTGTCAGCATCGCCGTGTTTGCTGATCCTAATCGGTACGTAGTACTACACAGTTTATTTCCTTCCATCATGCTGATCATCAGAATAGGTGGATCTCAAGTTATCTGAAAACAAGAAGCGGAATTACGTTATGATATCTGCTACTCACTCTGAAAACAAACTACACTTCAACATCAAAGAAAGAAGCTCAGATATTGATACAGGAGTACTTTTTGCGGTATAAAATCAATATTTATCTGTAATTTTATCTGAAGTCAAAAAGTACTAAGTACGAGAATGAAGTGAGACGGCTGTGTACAAAATCCGATTTAGGGTTAAAATAAATGCGTGATAGGGCGATGAATATTCGGCAAAAGCAAGTTACTACTTGGAAAATTATAGCTTAATATAAGTCAATAGATTAGAGTGTACAAGCACCATGTGAAAGTAAAATCTTTGGGATTCTTGAATGGCACAGAAAATCAGTATCAAATTTGGAGAATGAAATGTATAACAACAAAAGTAAATAGTTTTAAGCACCTAGAATATCAGCTGCAGGACCGACAGGACATAATCGTGAGCATCTGTGTTGTAAATCAGAGAGTGGACGACCATGAAGAAGGCAAACCAGAACGACGGTCATGTTATCACAACCCAAACCATTTGTATGACAGTCCGGTGCTAGACATCGCATCATAAGCTCCTCGCACACCTTTTAAAAAGAAAGAATACGACTGCAACGAAAAAAATACCTCCTACCAAAGTGAGTGGAAATGAAACCAGGTTAGTGCACTAAAAACAAATCTTGTCATCCTTGCTGTTTTGTTCCAGTGCACTCTTTAGTTTCCTAGGTGTCAGTAGAACTACTACCTTAAAATATACTTTGTTATTGATTTTCAGTACATCTACTTTGCAACTGAAAATCAGCAGTGTCAGAAACTAATCGATATAAAGATTTACCTGATTGTCAGTATACCAACAACTTGGCGCCAAGGTGTTTTTTAAACTTCCCAATATGCTTAGAATACATCTTTTTTAATGTAAGCATAGAATCTGAGCAATGATAGAATGTAATTCTACGTTAGATTAGTCTATTTGATATAGCACCAGTAGTATTATTTACACCTTTGTTTTAAAAATAAGTGAATGTCTGTTCAAAATCAAGGACGAACGTATATTACACTTTTTTCGATATTTCTGCAGAATAGTTATTCTATCAGTGTGGTTTAAAAGTAATTTAGACACCAAGAATTGATTCGGAAAATAAGGAAGTCACTTAGACTGCATATTGTTTTTTTATAACTGGTATACGAATAATACTAATAACAAACATGCATTTTGTACCATACAATAAGATAGGAATATTAAATCAAGGCAGTTTTCGTTCCGAGTTAGCATGAGGACTACCGAGGAATCTATGATGAAAAAGGTCCTTAGAGATACTAGATGGTGTCTAGAGCCTTTTTCTGACTGGCGGAAATTACCACGAGATCAATCGACTCGCTAGTGGAAATAACATTGATTACAAGACAAAGTCTACCACGTGTCACATGGCATTCTATCACTGGTATATTCAGTTAAGTAAAAGTATTGTATAAAACTACGTGACCAATAGTGCCTGTGAATAGCAGTTATAACCGTACAATGGTTTGGACACATTTGTTTGATAAAACGGTTTTGGTATTCAGATCACTAGGAACTGTACTCCCGCAAGTTTTCCTGCTTAAGAAACTTCGTAGCCCGCCACAATCATGATTTTCGATTTGATTGTTCAGAGTTAAAGATAAACTGATAATTGAATATATCAATCTGGTGGATGCAGAATTTTCCAAACAGTCTATCATGCTGAATTGATGTTACTCAGTCATCAAAGTACTGGGACTTTCAGGAATACCTAGGAAAATGATGCATTATGAAATTTACTTTCAACAGTGGTGGATATTTTCATACAATTTTGTTCGGAAAATCCGACTATCATTTTCCCCTAAAAATACTATTAAACTTTTATTGAGTTCTGGTTGGAATTATATTTTAGTCCCATTTAGAAAAAAAATCAAGCTGTTCAGTAAAGTGGCTGTATCTATTACAAATGAATTCATTTTTAAAGTGAGAAAATGGTATTTTATTCTGCATCATGAAGCAAATTTACGTATAACAGTAGCCAGTTGTCTTGTCACATACAAACCAATAAATGTAATTCATTTGCAATTAACATGATAGTGTCCTTCACACTTCTGCATTTTCATTCAGCATAGACTATGTGGTATATTGATGTATTCAGCAAAAAAAATTAAATACTCAGCCATTTAGATAGAATAAAGGTGAGAAGCAAACAGCTAAACCATCTAAAAATTACGAACACACTTAAGGTACTTAACATCGCAGTAAAGAGGCATTTGCAGCTCACCTGACATTCTACAGAAATAAACTATAGAATATAGGGTTCAGTACAGGTGAGATTACTAAGTGGCATCCTAAAACAAGACATATCCATGAAGAGTCATTCGCATTCAAGTGCAAGAGAAGCTGAAAAGACAATAACCAGGTGTTTTCCAGTCACTTCACGATGTGACCAAAGGATAATGTAAATTTCCCAGCACAGTATTTTCCAATATTTCCTTGAGACTAGGACATTCTGGTAGATATTTAGATTAAAAAAAACATGCTAGAAATAGAGCAATTCGTTTTTCTGCGCTACACTTTTACATAATACACCTGATATTATTCATCGCACAGTGTAATGTTGGATAGAGAATGAAAAATTATGTAAATTATAGTCTTACTTTGGAAGCGGGCATTCCATAACCAAGTCGAAGTCTTACAAAGCTTATAACCTCCTGATTGGTCATCACATCCCATATTCCATCACAACATAGTACAATAAATTCGTCGTCCTCAACCGAAATTCTTCGGACAAAGACATCTGGATTGGCAGTTACAATTTGACTTTCAGCAGACTGCCGTGGGTTTCGTTTAAAAACAAAGTCTCCAAAAGCTCGTGAAAGTGCAAGGTTCCCATTTACACGTTTTGCATCTACCCAACCACCAGCAGCAGAAATACGTTCCTTCTCGGCACGCAAAGTTGGTTTGTGATCTGTTGATAGGGGTTCTGCGATTCCACGCCTACTGCACACGGCCCGACTATCTCCAGCATTACCACAGTAAAGCATTTGATCCTTCAGTAGTACAATTATCCCAGTAGATCCAGCCAACTCATCACCTGGATTTGGGATTTTTAGGGAGAAACTCCCCGAACCTTCATTATGTGTTTCAACAGAACTGCTTTTGGATGTCACACTTGCACCAGATACTGTTGAATTGTTTAATGTGTCTGATCTTGAGATTTGTGACTTCACAGAATAAGAGGTCATTTCAGATTGCATTTCAGCATCCAAACAAAGAAAAGCCTGGCGAATAGCCTCCTTTATATCATTCTGGGCTGGAATCAATAGGTAAAATAATGTGATTAAACCCTTTTTGATTATAAACGGTTTAAGAATAACGGACAGTGGATAGAAACATCAGTTCTTCGTGTGAACTTATTTATTTTCTTCTGTAACAAGGAAAAAGGGTGACAAACATATAAGGAGAAAAAATGTGGAAGGCAACAAGAATATTGTTGGGGGCGGGTATTGACAGTGTCAGAAATAAAGACCTACGTAATCTTCTTCCCAGTTATAGTACTAAATGCACACAGTATGAAAGTAGTAGTTACTACGTGCTAGTCACCTTACAGTTTGCTGTCATTTGGTGACTTTTTTCAGTGCAATAAGAAAGAAAGGCTTCCGTTAAGATTTAGCGAGTATCTTCCAGATGCCATAGATTATAAAGTCAGCTGACGGAATCTTGATTCTTCAAACAACAGTTGAAAATATACTTCTTTCATGCTTGATCTAAATATCAGGGGGTAACTTGATGTGTGCAGTTATTCCACTCTTTATGCTCAGACTACGGTAGTGAGTGAGTTATTAAGCAACATTTAGTACCCTGGATGCAAAAAGATCAAACCCGCTAGGAATATTTCATCGACGAAGATTAGTTCTTTTATGTAACGCAGAATGACGAATGTACTCGACGCAAACCTTCGACGAAATAGTTGGCTCCATTAAGTAGTTGGGAATGAGTTAGGAGAATGGTTAAGTCAAATATCACTGATAAATCTCAATAAATACAAATAGTGATCGTAACCAGTCAACATATTCAAGACACACGTATTGAAGTAATGTACACTTAGAACTGCAGTTCTGATTTATTCGCATAACTTGACTTACCCATGTTAAATGACAGCTTGTACTTGCTGAGTCGTCGGCTCACCTTGTTGCCTTCCTCTTTCCCCTTCCAGATTCTCGTGGCTACAACCAAACTCACACTGCTCTACGCACCCTCCTGCAACAACGTACCTACCTACAGGTTAGACGAAAACGTATCAACAGCTGGTCGTTACAAGCTAACAAGTAAGCTATGACATACCTATTAGTGCTCACAGTAAAAATATTTGAGGTGACGTACTTGTCAATGAGATTCCTACAAGATTTCTCAACCAATATATTCAAACAGTTTTTAGATCACGAAGTATGACTAGTGAAGGACGCTATTCAGTCCGACATACGCCACATTTGAATATGAAAGAACCAGTTACGGTTCTCTGTTCTAGTCTACTTACAGGTCCTTCAAAGTAGAAAAGGGATAAGGACTTAGTGGTATTGCCCAATCAGAACTAGTAGTTACAGACAGTTGAACTCTTTACCAGGTTTTCATTCAATTTGCCAGAAAAGCGAGTTTCACGAAATACGACAACTCATCATATTTCTTCACTTCCTTTCATATACGCTTTTCAACCTGAGCAACCCCCCACCCGTTTGTTTTTACAATAGTTGACTACCTCCACGTTAAGGCATGTAAATTACTTTTGTATTGTATGTACCCTGTAGTCTTCTAAACTGCATGAAGTTGAACTGGTGATAAAATGCGTTAAATCCGTTACATTGAGCAATTTGTACTCGTTTTACTGAAGCTAATGATAGGACGATGTCCATATTTCTTCGCTTTGAGGCGAATTACCGATCTATCTTTTTCGGCTACGAACACATCGTCAAAATTTCCACCGATTTTTACCCAATAGATCTAAAGTTTCTAATTGTTAAGCGGCGTCAATGTCTTCCCCATCTCTTAAGCTTTTACTACCCTTCATCACATCGACTTTTTGTCAAGTAACATTTAAGTTGCTTTTATAAATTTACTTGCTCCTATGGAGCTGGTTATATAAACCGCACAAAGCGTGGACTTTCCAAATGTATTTCTGAGCAGTATCCTGCATGGTTCTTGAAAGAAAAATGTAAATCTATTACTAGTTCAACTTGTGAATATTATGGCAACTCTGGATATATTGCCCTACCAGAGTAGTCCTTCAGTGTCATTTAGAGAGTCAAAAGGAGTACGCTTTCGACAGTTATGTATAGCAGAAGCACCGGCAATTCACCAATTCAATTCTGATATCTGCATGCAAAAGTATGTTCAATTTCTTATCTTACCATAATTTTAACTCTCACAATTTTTCGATTCCATTATAATTGGTTAGTTTACTATGATCACCCTCATTATGACCCTTGTTCTTTGTAGTCTATTAAGTAGACATGCAATTTTCACATTTCACATCAAGCAACACTTTCTAACTTGTCAAAGTCCTTACCTTTTTCATTACTTCCATTGTCTAAAAGACTGCTACGCAACACCTTCCCATTCTTGGTTTCAGCTTTTTGCACCAGCTTAACAATCCAACCATGCAACATCGTTTAATAACAGACTGTGATATGTTTGTGATATATATAAATATGGTTGCACGGCTTTGGAAAATGATATCGTCAAAAAAAAATTTCTTCGCTGAATTGCCTTTTGTTACCGGGCTTCAAGATTGTTGGAGTCAACTGTCATACGCCGTATAATTCGATCGAAACTACCAAAATATTATGATTTTCCTTAATTTTTCTTGAATGTCAGCTGCAATCTTCAGAGCATTCTCGAGATAGGTTAAAGCTATTTCGTGGTAAATAACACTGTTAGTCTTCCTAACGCAGTTTCTTTGCATGCACTAAGAAGTGGACACGTGTTCGAACTAGCGTCTGGTCAGAATACAGACCAGTGCTCCGAAAGAAATGGAAAATCCCTCAATTCTCTCCACAAATAACTGATAAAGATCATCTATACGTGCGTAAAACCAAGGGTAGGAATGGTGACTACTAGGAAAAACAATATTTCAATGTCGTTTGTTCAATAATAATGACAATAAGAAGAATAGATGGTTTGCAAACTCAGTCGTAGCAAACGACCATCGTTATCAGATGGTTGAGGGGAACAGCAAAGGTACCACTTGAAGTCGATTGCTGTGCCGTATCTCGAAACAAGACCTACTGAACACAAATTCTCGTGACCAAAGATCATTAAAATGAAGACCTACCATATTCCAGTCGCTCCACAATCTTTTCATGAAGGTGTATGCTTGCATGATTAGCCACTCTTGTTCCACCGTGTCCATCAAAAACTGAAAAATAGGCAGCTCTTGGATCATTAGGAAGCTCCAGTAAGCACATATGAGCGTCTTCCATGTGTACACGCCACCCTTGCATACTGGATACTGCAACACTGTAGTTTTCATTCTGCCAACTCTTAGTTTCTTTAGAAAGCGCAGGTGCAGATAAGGACTGACCCATTCAAGAAGAAGCAAAGCAGTATCTGTTACTGTTCATATAGTAACCTCACTACTTATGCATGGCTTCGGAACATAACTTTCAAATATAAAATTTGTTTGTTAAAAAGACAGCCTAAAAGATGGGAAGTAAACGAAAATATGACAAATCGAGGATAATAAGCCGTTACGAAATTCTCAAGGGAGATTATTGCTGAAATTATAAGCATTCATAAATAGTGTTATGGGCGCTTTCATTATCAAAAACTGTTACAAGTTACCATAAATGTAAAGGTAAATCTTACAAAAGATCCTCAAAAGGCTTAGGAACGAATATCAAAACTAAACGGTATTAGAAAATTCTAAAGTCAACACTTGTGGAAATACATAGAAACAAACTTAGTTGTGACAGTTTGTATCTGGAAATCTTCATATTTTCAAACCTATTACTTCAGATTTCCTTGCTATGGAGAGCGAAATCTGCTGATGTACACATGACAGTTATGAGATCGATATTTAATTACATCTCATAATAGTGATGCTACTTTAATATCAAGCCTTTATAAAACCTGATTACATCCACAGCAACTTTATTGTTATTTAAACCAGTCACAACTAAATAGCTTTTATTTCGATTGAAATAAGACTTCCCGAAAGTAAATAGGTTTAAAACCGCGAAGTCACTATCGTATATTCACTGAATTCTTTTATCAAATTATATAACGGAATAAAGTGAAGACAGTCCAATATTTAACTGTTAAACCTGTAGACATTACAGATTTGACTGATTGATTCCCCTTTGATTGTCAAATGAATAGTCCCATTCTTTTTAGTAAGCCGGAATGACCAGCTATCTAGACCAGTCGGATCGGATTGTCATGGACTTTGAAACACTGCCTAGCACCTTAGTAACTCTGTTCAGTAATTTTCCTCGTCTGTCCTGAGAAACCTCTGGTGCCAAACCGTCAAGTCCTGATGCTCTATATCGTTTTAGATTTGAATCAGCTTTCTAAACTTGGGAGACAGTTACAGCACCAACATTTGTGTACCATCCAGGGTCAGGTTGGATGCTAGACAAGTGAAGCATTGCTGTAGGCCAGTTGAACTGTGTTCTAAAGCGATCCACCCAACGCTGTAACCGTCTGTCCTGAGAGGTTGTCAACATCTTTTTTCTTCGATGATGGTTTCACTAACCATCATTTTCTTCTTGCCAGTATCCTTAATAAGCCTAAACGGTTGCCAGGTATTACCTAATGCTGATGCCTTCTTCATCTCTCGCGATTTGTCATTCACTACTGTTTATGGGCATTGCGAAGACTTAGTCAATTTACATTTACGCTGCTTTCTTTCTTCATTGTGGTCAAAACCAGTTGAAGTGAATCTTCTCGCATCAATCAGTCTCGATGAAGTTGTGGAAATCCACTGGCTTTTGTTAACCTTTGGAGGTAGGTTAACAACTGTGCTTACCGCTTTTTCTACAGCACATTGAATAGGATAAGAATATACACTTGAGGCTCTCATCCTCAAGTTGAGCACACACAAGCTCCACTGTCGCCTATGACCAGTGGGGTTTAGACCTACATGTGTCCGTACTAACGTGACCGCAGTCCAAACAAATAATCCGGGAAGAGCAGGAATCCTCCATCGATCATCTCCAACGATGGCTTATAAGTAATATAATCTACCTATGTCCATCGTTAGCTTAATGTTTCCAGACACCATGTGAGATAGTGTCTCTCCTTATACCTGAAGTAAGTGCTGGCTCTGAATAAGTGACCTTCAAAATAAAACTGCAAGAGACGACCACTGTTGTCGGTTCGTTGGCACAGGACTCCGTAGTTACTTTCTAGGTGCCTTTCCGATTGGTTCAGCTTCCCTAATTGAGCGTTGAGGTTGCCTCCCACTATAACTATATCTGAAAGTTCTTTTTTGTCTGGCAAAACTAACAGCTTTTGATACAACTCGTGCGTTGTGTAATCCCAACTGCAGTGCTTAGGCGGGGATTGTGAATAAGCACCAGCGAGTTTCATGACTTCCTCATTATTACCAAAAGCAATATAGGACCAGGCACCATTGAGTAACGGTCTAAGTTGCCACACCATATCACTACATCAAGAGAGAAAGCACTAATATGAAAGATAAAGAAGAATCGGTCAAAACGGAAGAAAGTAGTAAGAGAAAAGAAGTAGAAATAAGAGAATAGTGAATTCAGGATGATGACCGAGATGATGATTATGAGTGGATACATCCGAGCCATGTCACCTAGTCTTTAATTACTGGTTTCCGTTGTCCTACGGAACCCTACTAGAGAGTCTACACTTCTCTAAGCGACTTCCTAGTTTTTACAGACCCGTCCAGTCGGACAGCACACAGACGGCTGTTGATTGGTATTCAGTCAAGAAGTGCGCGTTTTGCTCAACAACTTAACGCTGTACCTACACCAACAAGTGAACGAGATCTAGTCAATGAATCTCCAAACACTTGTGAAGTGAATTTTTAAGGTTAACCGCAAAAGCTAGATGAGATCAGGTGAACAACGAAACTCCGTGCATTTTTACGTTTTAGAAGCATAGCACACACCCATGGTTCAAAACTCCAGAGTTCTGGCAAGAGATGCTTGCCTTCCGACTTAGGATAGGGTTCAGATGTTGACAGCTGCAGTGTGAAAATGACAACTGGGTTTTAAGAGACACGGAGAGGTGTTTCGCTGGCTTGAAACACTAGCAATGATATCAAGGTAAGGTTGAGGAAGTTGTAAGAGGTTTGATATAGGCATCAGGAATTGAGGGTAGGGGATGCAAAAGCAGGTTATGCTAGTTTGTTTTTTATACATCTGTGTATATGGTTACTGCCTCCCAGGTGTCTACACCATGGAGGTAGTTTCTGTAAGATGTCTGGAAGAGAAAAAAGGTAAGTTTCAAGTAACCAAGGGGTATTTGTGTGAAGCGTCACATTCAGCCTTTTTAGCATTGCTGGATTGAGATTTTATTGTGCCAACGCCGAACAAGAAAAATACACATCACCGGCACTAGAAGATCCCAGAGGGACAGGGTGCTACTTTCGGACTCAACCTTTTACAACTCCCCCCCCCCCCGCCTTTTCATAGGGGAAGTGACACTGATATGGTACTGTTGTTTATCCGTAGTTAACAACCTACTGCTGTCACATCCCGTCCAGACAGAAGTGGGACTTCGCCCTTGAACCCCCACTATACTTTGACTATTTACACTGTGTTTTTGTTTCATCACTATCCAACAGACCTTGCTGGCATGGCAGGACCTCAATGGACAAGCATTCAAGCTAGCGTTGCTCGTTGGTTATATGCAAGCCCGACCACCATATCAAGGCAGCAGCTATCAGTCTGTAAATATGAAACAAGATAACTTGATTGCTAATAGTGACTTGCTGACAAACAACAGCAGCGTGAATGATCTTAGAATAGTACTTCGAGGTATTCCACTGTGTAATTATTGCCAGGAGGACATATTTCCACCAACTCCTACTTTCTCCATGTCTAAGAAAGTCCACTCAGTACTTCACCTTACCGTCAGGCTTCAAACTATCAAACTTTACCAATAGTCCTAAAAGCGAATTGTTGCCAGATCCTCATTACACTCTTCGGATACTAAATGATTATAGAAGTGTGACGCGGTTAGTTAGTCACTATCTTCAGCCATTCTTGTTGGACTCTCCGTAAGAACTAGATTTGGGATAGCATCATCCTTTTCTGTCCCGCTATAAATATGAGACATCTCTTGGAGTACCTGACTAGCTCTATTTCACATGTTTTCAAGATGTTTTGATGACTGACCTAAAGCAATCTGTAATTCCACCATATTTAAGCCTAGAATGTCCAGAACGGGAGTAAGCAGGTTTCACAGCATATTTCTAAGCTTAACGGGTTTTTTTTAGCCTATCTACCATTCCACCGAGGACTGGTTGATTCACAAATTGTTTGAGGGATAAAATTAAATTTAGTCACCCTAAGTGTTTACTTGAACTTTAACCATTCGTCATCAACAGATAAGCCAATGACCAGTCTACAAATATAACATGGTTTTCGGATCACACAGCACGGTAAAGTTGGATATAATCGTAAACCAATTTCGCAAACTCTGGGGTCAAATGAAAATGAACTGTATGGTTACTATTTCCTAACGAAGGAAGAACAGAAGTTAGAGGTAAACCACGTCTTGCACTAGTCCGAAGTTTAATAGGGCATATTTGTATCTGAAACTGATACACATGGGTACTGTGGAAGTGTTGTATCAGGACAAGCTCCAAAACATAAACCCACCATGTGATTTATTCTTGAATTCTAAAGATGACATTTTAGCCTAATTTATCCGAAGCGTTGAAGTCTTCTACTATGAGACAAAAGTATTCCCACTTCAGTTATCAAAATGCTCCAGTATAAAGTTAATAGTCCGGGGAAATGAACTACCACAGACAACAAATTCCGAATGCGACAGAATTAACTGAGTGCACATCTTGGTTAAAATATAAACCTAGCAATTCACTGTAGCATTTTCGATCTACACTGTCATTACAAATAGTGTTATATAGCAATGGTAGCGTTTGGTCTGGATCAGAAACGAATCGTATATCCACGAGCGCCATGACCAGGTGGAGTACGTCAACCTAGAGCTGTATTTCACGTGATTTCAAGGATCAATATACGACTATACCTTGCTAGCACAATTTCTAAACACTAAAACTATAAATGGATGTCATCCAACTCCTATAAACACTAATTTTGATAAAAAGGAATGACTGTTACAGATAATACAGAAAAATAGAGTTCTAAATTGCCCGCAGATATAGAAAATGTGACACAGCAGTACGTAACAAGGCAGCGCCGTGGTCAGATGACATACTACCTAGCCTTCTGTTTTATGACCCGAAAACGTCTATTAAGTGACTATTTAGCCGAAAATGAATTTATTCAGAGAAACGTAAGGTAATTCCTTTGAATAAGCGTCCATACCTTGGTGAAAAACAACTTGGTATACGGATAACCCGAAACCATTTGCTTTCGAAATCAATTAAATGACCACTTAGTATGAGAGGACATGAGAAGAAAACCATATGAACTTGATCTGGAAAAACTATAACATGAACCCAAGTCATTCCTCATTTCGGTTAAGAGACGTAAAAATAATATTGCTTAAGAGGCTGAAGTATTTATTTGAGGTCAAGTAGGGCAGACAGCTCAAGTCAGTAGACAAAAACTCAATGGTCACACAATCTTTTGAAAACACCGAAACAGCATTATACACAGAAGAGATACAACATAAAGATCTGGATAACACAACGTTTGAATGGATGAAGCCACCTGAAGACGGCGTAGCGCTGTTTTTAGATTCAGCGCTCAACTAAGTTATACAAGTTAAAAAAAGTAGTTCATTCTCATGCACTTAATCATAGATCCAGCATAGCAATTTCATATCTCCGGTGAAAAATAAACCACAGAGATCTGTTAAGTCAAACCATGGTGTGTACAGCTGACAGATGAAAAATTATTATTGTATGCATATCAGAAAGATGAATCTGGTGTGGAATTACGTTCTGTCGCGGACCCGAGATTTACAACCATATATTAAATGATTTCTAGCAATGTGGAAGATTAAACATGAAAGACCAGGTTATAAAATGATTCCAAACCAGTTCGCATTTGTATTCATGGAGACTTCCGACTTAGATTTCAGAGGTTTTTGCTTGAGGACAGAAGGCTGTGGGCATATATTAACCCCTTTCCGTCGGATATCTGCAGTTTTCTAGTCCTCTTTTGAACGCGTCAATTTATACTGCAAACAGCACTTCTTCTGGAAGTCGGTCCCAGGAGTGGATTACTCAGGGTGAGAACCAGTGCTCCTCACAAAATGCGTTCGTTCTTCGCTTTAGTATCCTCTAGCTATATCTCCTGATATGCCTCGATCAAGTGGGACGGAAAAGAGGAGAAAGACTGGGTTCGGAGTGGGTCCCTAGAATCCTGTGAAGCACGGTTAGATCTCCACTCAGTCTGTGGTAGAATAAAAAGAAGCGGTCCAGTTCCCTAGGGCGATTTCCATACGTCAGGCCAGCCGTCACAGGCATCATACGAATGGCTCCATCCGGACTCCTTCCAGAAGGCCTGAGTCACCTTTCAGACAAGGATTCCCTGCCAGTGTACAGTTTTATGGCCTAGTCCTGGTCAAGAATGTTTGTTTGATTTGTTTCTATAAAACGATTGCGTGGTGCTACAACTCCGAGCTGTGACCAGTCGACAATGTTCTGCGGCCTTCAACTCGTTTCTTCCTGTGGCTTCTAGGTCATTATGGGCCAGTGCTGAAGGTATAGGATTCTCAACATCATAGGCGTTCCTAACTGTGTGCCCCACACACATGCTCAAATATTTACCTGCATCGATAGGCATCAGTCACTTTTCTTTCCAAGTAAAAAGGCAGTTTAGGTCTGCATGGAGTGCACGTATATCCTCGTCATCTCTAGTCTTCCACAAAATTTTGCGCTATCAGCGTGGAGAACAATAAGGGATTTCGTGACATTCGGCTGCCCACTCATATATAGGGGTAACTGCGGGTCATATGAAGTCGATTAACGTCTTCGTTGGAAACATTTTTCCACATGAAACTTGTGTGGAAACTCAGGATTTGTTTTATGCATGATAAACATATCTGGATGTGTAATAATCTTTGCTCTTGTGATGTACTGAAAATGTGGTGCAGAAAATGAGAGATTCAGTAGCCACTTCGCATTCGGTGAATACGAAATGAAGCAACTGCTGCTGTTGGCTACACTATTTCAAATTTTGTCAATAATGACATTAATTGGTGCTCACTCGGGATCCCATTTACTTATCACGTCCATATAAGCGGCACCCGAATGGACTCACGTGTTGTGACTCAACTCATCAGCTAACGAACTGTGCTTGCATAAGGTCCACAACATTTACCTATGAGAATAGCTAACTACAATAAGACAGGATATCCCTTGCGTTTTGGAAGCAGTGCTTCTAGAAGGGTTATACTGTGCACAGGCTTCTTCAGTCACAAACCTTGGTTAGTTATGACATGATGACACTCAAGTTGCGGTACCATGAGACGAATTTCAGTATTCCATGACCGCTAAGTGGATTCTGTTAGCCAATGTGGCTCGATGCACTTGGGTGAACAAGTCAACCGTTTCCTCACAGTCCTTCAGCATCGCAAGAAACACGAGTATTTGAGAGTGCACATCACTAAGAAGAGCATTTTCATAGAGATGCACTTGGGAAACTTAACGATTACCCACAGGAACTCTAAGTCCCACTGCTTACAAAAAACGACACTGATGGTCTTGCTGCTGATGTAGTGACAATAACAAAAAACCTAACACGCTGACTGAGTTGAACACACAAACTAAAACATAAGATATACTTCAGCTCAACAATAAAGTAATTTTGGTTAATTTTATTCATCGGATTGGCGTAAATACGATCGAAAAGTTTCGAGTAACGCAGTCTTCGAATGTTAAGAACATGTCCTGGCGCGAACTTGACAGACACAAAGACCGATCACTATTTATTCGGACTTGCTATATACCCACGAGCACAAGACCAAGGAAGAACATGATAGCGTAGTAGGATGGAATAGTATATTTGGGTGCTTGTACCAAGATACCGATGCGTTCCGACCAACTGGCTAGAGTCTAGTACGAGCAGTGCAACGTAATAAGACGGCGTACCAAATGGCGAGAATGCCTGACCGGGTGCCTCCAGCTTAATGAGTCCAGTTAGACTATCAAGGTCAGCATCGATGTTGAGTGTCGTCGAACCCTTGGCTATCGATCTTGGGGAAGTGTGTGACGCTACAGGTTCATCATGTTTGTGGAGGCTCATTGAATGAAGTCAAGTAAAATCAGTCGATAAAGTTTCGGAATATACTACAAGAACAAAGTCACAAAGCATGCGACATTTGGAGTTTTTTAGTTTCCTTGGTTCCGCAATTAATACAGAATTATTCATAGATGAGAAAGGAGAATCGCTGAATAACTAAGGCGATTTTGGATGACCAGAACATGTATATAGTCTGGAGCATTCATTATTCACCTATTTACCCTTGAAAATAATATCAATAGTGGTTTGGAAGGTTTGCGCATGCAGATGAACAGATATATAAGATGGCCAGACAGCCCGCATAAGAGCATTCCGCGGCTTGTAACATTATACGAGATTTCACAGTGAGGAGAAACACTTACATGTAGTGTGAGACTTCGAAATGTTTTTGGTGGAAAACAAAGTAATACAGGTCAACATTGTAACCGTTCTGCAAGCCAAATGTGCATTTGTAGCGTCACACACTTCCCCAAGATCGATAGCCAAGGGTTCGACGACACTCAACATCGATGCTGACCTTGATAGTCTAACTGGACTCATTAAGCTGGAGGCACCCGGTCAGGCATTCTCGCCATTTGGTACGCCGTCTTATTACGTTGCACTGCTCGTACTAGACTCTAGCCAGTTGGTCGGAACGCATCGGTATCTTGGTACAAGCACCCAAATATACTATTCCATCCTACTACGCTATCATGTTCTTCCTTGGTCTTGTGCTCGTGGGTATATAGCAAGTCCGAATAAATAGTGATCGGTCTTTGTGTCTGCCAAGTCCGTACCGGGACAAATCCTGAATACCCCCCGTCTCGATTGGTCACCATTGTACGTCATTTTGGTTTAAAACTGAGGTAGCCGTCAAAATTAAGCGTTTGCAACCAAATTTTGTATATACATTTTGCCGTAAAGAACATTTTTCTGAGGGTCCACTTGCGCATTTATTGTTCAAGAACCAGGTGTAATTCATTTGGTTGGCTTCGCTTCGGATTTAATAGCTGGATATTCGTGCCTTTGTCACGTGCTACTCAATGAATTTGCCGTAACATCAAGTACTACCTTTCACTGCGTCAACATAAGACCGAAAGACACAAGTTTGTTTTGACCACCTTACTCTTCGCCTTAAAGTGATACTATTGTCGCATATTTTGCAAACTGATCCTTTTACACACAGCGCAGCACACATGAAAAGCATATAGTAAGATGCCCCCCACCCCGTGTCCCACTCGTTCTGTGCACTGCTTACAATTAACGTCTGGATCTAGCTGGCTAAAGCTGAAGTGTTTCAGAAAAAGTCAAGCATCCATGAGACACCAATTCTGAATTCTAGTCTACTACACATAGTCATTAAAGAACGTCCATACCCGGAGGAACTAGTGGTGGCCAGTTGGAGCAATCGAGGTCCGTCGTGTACACCATTATGACGAAACATCACCGTCTTCCATTTGTTCTGTGGGTGGAATCTGTTCCGAATACTTCATGTTTAAATTTATCCGCTCATCAGCGAAACAATGGAGCATCGATAACGACTAGTCTTGACTTTTCTACGAATAAGATTCTTATAAGTTTCATTTTGCCTGAAAGAGAATATTTGAGGTCGTTTCTCACTGTCTAAACAAAACTATACCAGCAAGTGCGAGACTGCCCACCATGACTCTCAGTCTGCTATTTTTTTACAGCGCTTACGGTAGCGACTTCAATTTGATTCATCCCTGGCATAATTCGTGACTTCATGTGTGAATGGCGACTGCTATATAAAGTTTCGGATTCCCCACTTCTTCCTATGTTGGCCACCAGTTCTAAGTATCACTTACCACAAACGAATGTGCATGGGGGCGATCATCCAACGTCCTACAGGACCGAATGGTTTATTCATCCAAGTTCAACTATACTAGAAACACCAATAGCGAGTCTTGAAATTTCAGTCCAAGACAATCCCCACGAACGGCTGGTAGTATGGTTTCTTAATCAATCTTACACCTCACGTTTAATGGCTCACTCTGAAAGCATATTTAATTGTCACAAACTGTACCTCAAACTCAAGCCTGGTTTCTTACTTTTTCAGTGAATATACTGAGTGTACGTAAGCCTTGTTTGTCATGAAAGCGTAAACATCCCATGCGTTTTGAGGTTAATTAGCTGCATCCTCCAGCTCTTACCGGGAGAAGAATGACTTCTGCTGCTACAGTACCTAAAATGCTTCAGTCGAGTCTGCTGATATCGCAAGAGCCGAAAGTCTCAGGTGTGTTAATGAAGTAAAAGACCGAAGTACAGTTACCCTAGCTAGAACAGTGAGCCATCCAGAAGGCTCTTCGGCCTGACCGAAACAAACGACTACGCCGTTCCTTCATATTGTGTTTAGCTTCCTTGAGTTACGCGCAGCTCTATGGACTTGACGCTGCGTGTTTCCTGTGGCCGCGTTGTCAATCTCTTTTGTGCTTTGTTCAGTGAATATGTATTCTAACAAGCCGATTTTTGCACTCCATTGCTGTCTATCCTCATTTGTTAACTGAGATTA